TTCTGCGCAATTTTTCGAAAATTTGGGGCGAGTTTTTGCGAGTATTCACTAGTTTTCGCGTGTTTTCGCGAGTTGGATGCGAGCGAGTGTACAACGAGTTGGCTAGTGGGGGACCCCCCAAGATAGATACTAGCTGTCGTCGCCTAGAGATGAGCGAACAGGCCAGTTCGAATTTATGCGAACTCAAAGAAAATCAGCCCAAAAATCTTCGAACCAAACCGAACACGAATATCAAAATTTTTTCCCAAACGAGTCAATCCGAGTGATAATTTGAGACGCGGGTCCGGAGCGGGGCTAAGATGCTGTGGCAGTTATATTCTGCATCAAAGCAAACAACCTCTTAACACTGGCTGCAATTGTTTGCATGTGAACATCTATTCGAACAGTATACGAACATTTCGTATCCGAACACCACTAGTTCGAGTTCACGCGATCACAAACAGTTTGCGGATCATTCGAGTTCGATCGAATGCGAACATGTTCGCTCATCTCTGTCGTCGACACACTTTCCCAAGACCAAGGACACAGTGCACTATGACCTCCGAATTTCTGATTCTTAGAATATCGTACTGACAGGATTTGTAACTCTTGAACACCCCGCAAATGAAGTTATTGAAAGTCGGCGTATCGTCTAGTTTATTTAATGGAGCAGCACGTTCGCCACGTTCCCCCATCGACTTTAAAATTTCGGTCCAGCGAAGCGCGTGCATCAATTTTGTCAAATCGGGTGTGAACGAACCACACATAGAACGCACGCACGCGACCCCGGCGCCATTGTCGCGCGCCCCCCTGGCCTGACAGCCCCGTTATCGTGCACCTGCTCCCAGCGCCGGTAGCGCCGGGCGTGCGGTGGACTGCGTGCACCGGCGGGCTACACAGCATCGCCGCCACAACCACCCCCCACCCCCTTTTCCCTGCCTCCGGCGGCCGATGCGCCGAGCAAGGCCGGACACATACCTGGGGGCGGAACCGCAAAAGGGGAGGAGGTAGGCAGGGGAGGTCCGCGAGCCGCCAAACACTTTCTGTTGAAGTGTAGGCGCGTGATTCCCAATGATTGCGGTGCACTTTAATTAACACCATGAGGCTTCCAGTGGTAGAAAAGGCTTATTTCGACAAATTGAATTGTTTGTGGTGTTTGTTACTGGTGGATACAGAGTTCTGTAAACGCGAGCACGTTTCTCACGCCAGGCGTGATTTCCACGCCCGGCGTGATGAAAGTCGGCTCCTGATTGGCTGCGTGGAGCTTACGAAGCGTGAAAATCACGGCGCCTAACGTGAAAATCACGCTTTCGTTTTGTGAACTCTGCATCCGCAATAAATTTGGTGATTTCTACCTATATTTGTAGGTTTCAATCCTGATTTTTCCTAGCCTGGTGTAGTGTATACACCGGTGGATGTAAGAGGGCTTGCTTGTGCAGGAATGTTGACTGGATCAAAATGTGTGGGAATTGATTTTTAGAAATGTTTATGAATGTGAGAATTTGCAAATGCCTCTTGATAGTGCAAGATTGAGTTCCAATTTTGAAGTGTGTTACATTATGTGCCTTAAATTTCCCAGGATAAAACACTTATTTTTAAGATTGTTTTTTTGCAAAAATAAACCCAATTTGTGAAACCAAATGGTAAATAATGACAACGACCAAAAAGTTGAATGTGAAAATTGGAGCAACTTCGTGTCAGAAATGAAGAGGCAGTCTAAGTTTTTAAAGGGGCACAATGTCAGTTTCTTGGTGCTGGTAATAGTAGTAATAGTATAGCAGTTGTTATTGATGGGGTTGTACTTCTTGTTCTTGTCGTTTTAAAACCTTTGCCAAACTATTCCAAGATCTCCAAAGAAACGTCCCCTGCACTGACCCGAGAGAACGCGTAACGTGCACTATAATCCCCGAAGCTCGGGCGCTGAGGGCGGGCCGCCGTCCCAACACCGCTGCTTAGCGGGCTGGCCTACCCAGCGCGTCGCAGGCGCCATCACGTTTATTGTAGGAACACGATCAGACAACCGCCGAGTGGCTCGGATTCCTCTGCCTCTACCCGCGACCCCCTAAAAACAACAACAACAGGACGACGGACACGACACGTACTGCTTCGTGGTGAACGGCGCGCGCCGTGCTGCGCTCGCGGGGCTGTCGCACGCGCGCGCGCGCTCGGAAGGGCGAGACCGTCGCGGGGGCGAGACCGTCGCGGAGGCGAGCTTCACGAGCGGGAGCTCGTCGCGGTGCTTTCGCAGCGTGGAGCGGCGTGGCGCGGGTCGGGAGGCGCGGGGGGCGCTGCTGCGAGCGCGGCGAGGGACACGGCTAGACTGGGGGGGCTTGGGGCTGCTGCTGCCGCCGGCTCTGCGCGAGCAGCCACGAGTCTGGACCACCCCGCAGGGGGGAGTCCGCTCCGGAGAGAGATAGAGGGGGGGGGGGAGCTGCATGTGAGGCCTCGGGCCCGGCCGGCACTGGCGACCGGCCGCCACCGAGCCAGGGGAGGAAGATACTGTGTGGGGGGAATAAGTCACACCCCATTACCAGCGCCGAGTAGCGCCAGCGCGTTGATATGGCTATATCGCCCTCTCCCCTCCCCCCGTCAGCAGCTCTCAGTCGAGTTTTAATCTCGGCCTCTCTCTTTGTTTCCAATCCCCCCCTCGTCTCCCACATCAGAATGCTACCCTACGATCTTTCTACCGCGTCGTGTGACTGGGTAAAAAAAATATCCAAAATTAAATAAAAAATGTCTAATCTTCATTGACTAAGAGGGACGGCATAAATCACCTCTGCAGTGAGGCAAAATCTCTCTCCACTCCCCCTCCATCCCCTCGCCACCCCCTCTCATAAATCCGTCCGAGTTTTGCGGCGCCAATGGCGTGACGTCCGAAAAGGTAGCCACATAAATTCTTCGCGCGACGGGCGGTTCAAATTTTCGCGCCGTCGCACCTTTACCTGGCGTTGGCAGCAAGCTTTCTGGCCGTCTGCTAGGGAGGTTACCTCCCCTCTCCCCTTTCTCTCACCATCTCTCTTTCCCTCTCTCTCTCTCTCACCCACTCGCTCACTGACTTTCCCCACTGCCCCATGAGAGTGACGAGTTGCAGGAGTCCTGCCGTATCGACGCCGCGGTGGCAACCCCCGCGAGGAAATAACGGGGGGAGGGGAGTGAGATATCTTTTGTTTTCGCGCTGCTGAGCTTCGATTTGTATCTCGTGGGAGAAGTGTCCGGGTCGTGTGCAGCAGAGGGATTTATTTCTTCGTCCTGGAGGCCGTCGTATCGACGCCCATCGCTATCGTATCTCTCTATCTCTCTCCCTCTCTCTCTCTCTCTCACTCTCTCTTTGCTCTACTCCCACGTTATCGCTATTCTCAACGACGACAGCTGTAAATACATCTATGTCGACAACAAGGGGAGAGGGGGGTAGATCAACACCCGGACAGAAACAGCTAGGAAGGGATCTAGGAAAACTCGTCCCAGTATAACTTGGCCAAGTATCAATTCGTCCCATGCTTTGTTCGCCTCATACGCATCTCGCACGGGTGCTAACCCTGATGATGAGCCGAGCAGACAGCTCGCGGATTGCAGCTACGGGCTTGGGCCAAAAGAGGCCTCGTGGTTAGTCAAGTCAAGGCTAGTTGACGGTGTAGCTAGATTGTCTAACCAATTTTTCTCCGATCTGGTGAATTTTCCAAAATCCCCAGAATTGCTGACCGATCTAGGTTTTCTCCGACTCATTTTCCTCCGACCTCGTCGATATGCTGCACTTTGGGAAGAATGTTATTCAAAGAGGAACAGGCTATGACGGAGTGCAGCCCTAAGTCACAGAACAGTCAAAAGTCCGCTCGGCAGGTCGGAGAACATTAGGTCGGACAAAACCGAGGTCGGACAGCCCGCCCGCGCGCCCGCACCCCTCGCCGTGACACACCGCACCCGCTCCGTCGGTGGAGAGCGAGAGAACGATTAGAGAGCTCGACCTGACCGGATCTCCTGGCATGTGCCAGTGTTAGTCCCCCAGCTGTCCCCCGGGTGTGTCTGCGCCCCCCGCTCCCCGGCACCGCCCCCTACCCGCCCTGGTCCTGTTGCTACCCAGACTTTGAACACGACACGTGAGTTTCGACAAACTATATTTGGTTTGAAAACATGGGAAATACGCACAGAACACAAAATGCATGTGACGCTACGGAACAAACTCATTTCTTAACTTAAATAACAGCCCCGGGGCGGGATCATACATACAGGCAGTGCGTCTGTCTCCTGCCGTTCCGGAATTGGCCAAGTTCTGCCAGCAAAGGGACTCTAGCGCCTGTTGGGTAGGCAACATCTTGCATGTGGTGCATGCGTGTACTCCGGGGTGGCCTACCCCAAGTCTCGCAGGCGCGAAGCTCTGAAGCCTAAACAGAGAGACAGCTCGTCGGCTGGCGGGGGAGGGCGACATCTCCCCCTCTATATGATGGTGGGCCGGCGGGAGGAGGGGGGCAAGCTGCTGAGTGCTCGGGGTACCCGTAGGGGTACCCGATACCCGACCTGATGCTGCAGGAGGCCCCGGAGCAGGCCACCCCCTCAGGGCCTCGGCTACCCGTCTTCTCTCTTGTGTGCGCGCGTGCGCCGTGCTCGTGTGTCGTGTCGCACGCCTCTTTCCGAGGAGACGGCGGCAGGCGTCGCGGAGCAGGGTGCATGACATCATGACCGCCGGGGCCGTACCGAGCGCCGCGTAAAAAGAAATAAGAAACCGGGCAAATAAGTCACTGTCAGTAGGGCACGATGAGTTTTGGCAATGTCAGGCAACGCTGAACTTGGAGATGGTCTCTGCTCCAGTTCCAATCACAGAAGCCCGCGAGAGTGTGCTGAGGCGTGGGTAGTGCCCCCTCCCCCTCCCCCCATCCCTATCGACGCCATCACTGACTGCTCATTTCAATTAACCCACGCGGCCGTATCGTCCTGGATTTTGCACATCGACCGAATATCGAGAGGGTCGGACGAGCAAAATGAAAGGCAAGGCGTGCAGCTTAACTTGACTTTTTAGTGTGCTCAGAACTTCGGCCGGGTTCGTTTGTGTTGTACGCAATCAGAGAGCCACGTGAAGTAGGGCCTGATATCGCGGAGTACGCTTTTCCATGTACACAAGAGTCCACTAGTTACCTGCCCCTCCTCCGGGGTTGGCCTAAAAAAGATGACCCTGGAGCTACGCCGTTGTATTTTTGGCCGAATGGGGGAAGGGGAGAGGGTGTGAGAATTTTCGGCGTTGAGAGGACTTTGTCGGGCCATGCGAAGCTGCCCGTGACCGTGTTGGTATTGTAGCTCGCAACTGTGTAGCCACAAACAGGCCCGTGCAAAAAAGGAGCAAACTGCAGATTCGCCGACAGGTTCTTTTCTTTTTATTCTTTTTCCTTCGATCGTTTCCGACACCCATTAACAGGTCCGTCAGCCGGTGAGTGCTGGGCGGGCGGGCGCAATGCCCCCCACGCCTGTGGCGCTCGCTGTGGCGTGGGGTCCGACGTGTGGGAGAACCCGCTGCGGCTCCGGCGCCCTGCGCTCGCTCGCGTCCGGAATCCGCCCGAACACGCCGAGATCGCACTGCTCGCCAAAACGTAGTCTAAGAGACTCACCTTTCATTCGGCGTCTTTGGCGTGCCAAGATGTGGCCTTCTCTGAAAGCATGGCCTAATTATTGGAAGAGGAAAAAAAAATATCGCCAGAGTCTCTAAATGAATGCCGAAATTTAGCATTTACAGGGGCAAAAAGGGAGGCCGGAGAAACTGCCCGTCTCTAAAGTTAAGCCCCAAAAGTTGCGGCAGGCTTAGCGTCCACGACGGGGCGTTTACAGTGTTTGCTTCATTATCCCTTCCTCTACGAGTGGCCCCGAGCTGGGCTGGCGACTCGCGCTGATTATTCGAGCGGGCTGCCACGCATGACGGCGCCCTGCCGGCGTGCTCGAATCAGCTCGAATACTCGAAATGCTATTCAGGTTGCACAGAATCCCGTCGAATAAAGACCGTTGGGTCCGGGCGAGGAGGCGAGCGATCATCGCAACTTCTCGTCTTCTATTGTGCCGAGTGGCGATGCCCTCCCCCCACCCCTCAACCCCCCCCGCGCGGACCGGTGTGTTCGCCTTTCAGCCCTCCTCAGGTGATACGCGAAAAAGGCCTTTGAAGTGCGATCCCTCCCGCTTCTGTAACCCTCTCCCCCCTCGCCCCATACTTTCATCGCAAACTTGAGGCCGATGACTGAGGAAAGCCCACACTCGACTTTGTCTCGGATCCGCTCGGATCCTCGGAGTA